CAATGACTTCAGGCTGGGATAAAGGACGGGTCAGGTCATCGAGATCAATGGGTATTTCCGCTTCCCGATTGATTATGAACTAAGGGAAATTATTAGATGGTAATAAAATCTCAAATGCATCCTACTTTGAAAGTGTAACCAATTTTCACCGTGTATGTATGAGCCGTGTTGAGTTTGAGGCGAAGTTTGACACGCGTTCTGTGTAGCGGACTTTCCCATTTACCATTCACCGTAGTTGCTCCTCCACCACCATCATCCCCGCCTCCACCCCCGCTCCTATTGATTCCTGGAGCACCTTTATAACCACGGTTTGGTTTGTGTTCCTCTGCCGTGTTCAAGTCATATCCATTGGATTCCGCATCATCGTGGTCGTCATCCCGTCTACCGCCGTTTCCGGACTCTCCTGGAGGGCGTTCACCTTCGTCGGCCATGGCTTCATATATGTCCACATCATGTCTTCTTTGGTCGTTGTTACCAACGGCTCCACCAAAGTCAACGGACACGTTAGGATCAGGGTCATGAGCTCTGGATAAATGACTCAACATCGAACAAGGAACAAGAGATTTTACGCACAGTGTTAATGCAGGATTATCGTCGGAAGGTCGAATTACCACCGGAAAGCCTGATAAATTTGCGAGTGATTGCACCATATTGACGACTATTGGTTCATTGTAACATCCGAAAATCACCAAGGCAGGCTGTGTTGGTGAAAGCATCCATGCAAAAGGCCCACCGCAACCATTGTTTCGGATCAAAGTGAGAAGAGGGTTGTCCCAATTGTCCTCCATCCACGATGCGGCTTCTGCAGGTTCGTGGATGGACATCAAACAACCCCCAATGCTGAGATTGGCCTGAATGCAAGTCAAGTCGTTTGGGGTAAAAGAATTGACTGGTGTTCTGTGGGGGCGGATGTATATCGGGAAGAGTTGCAGATCTATGAATATACGTACTCTGGTCTGTCATCATAAGGCGAATATATGACGAAGGTTCCAATTTTCACATTTCCTGCGGCACCGTTCCCATTCAACATACCCACTCCTGCTCAGGAATTGAAGTTGAGCGACCCGGTAATTCTGTCGTGAATGGTGGAGAGCTGCGTACCTGTATCCTCCGAGTCTAAGCCAGAGCGACTACTATCCTCATGTTGCAGATCTTTCACGTTGGTAACGGCGGGGTTTGATCGGCTATGATCGCTCACGCCGCTACCAAAACCAAGGTCTATCCACTGCGTCGTCCGATTTCGGTAGTCGTTCTTCTCCCGTTTCTTGAGCAGTCGCCGCCGCTTATATTCGGCCTCGTCGTCATAGCCCTCGGTTTCAACCTTCTCGCGCAGATACTCAATGTGTCGTTCTTGGCGATTACCCACGGAATCCGGCGGGACTTGGTATATAGGTAATTTAATGCCGAGTTGCTCATAACGTTCGAAATTGATTAGTTCATTGACGGTTGACGGATATTTCGACAGGTGGGAATTGACAGCATCGAGTTCAGCAACTACGCGACACATAAGTAAGGCAGGAGAGAACAAAAAAGGAAGTGAACTTGCTGCACCACGGAATGTAATTCGCTGCGCGTAGCTTCTTAATCCTCTTGTGGTAGGCCTTATAATTCTGATCGGGGTCAATTATCCTCGTGAGGTCCTCGAGCATGGCACGCTTATCGCGTGATAAATGCTCCAATGTCCGCACCAAGTCATGCATAGGGTTGACTGTTGGATCGAGAGCACGAGCAATAGCGGCAAGAGAATTGTAGTTTTGTCGTCGGAGACACTCCTGCGGAAATATCAGTTGCAAACTGGAATCGTAGCAAATTCCTCACCTGCCCTGCCTTGATAAATCTCTTCATAGACTCGGCCCGGTCCCTAATTTCATCGTGTCTCAAAACTACATATTTAACCCAGCGAATCATCTTGTGATGGTTTGACAACCAAGTGTCGACGTGGGACGGTAAACCGCTGGTATACCGTAAGTAATCGATCGATCGGAGTGTCTTATGAAAATCATGCTCCATATGAGTGAGGGCAAGCGCCAGCTCCTCCGGGTGTCGCGGTTCCGCCGTCGGGCCCCAGCTCGCTGGTGATATGGGTGGACGAGGCTAAAAACACCTCAGTAAAATATTAAAGGGCGTACAGGGTAAGACTCACGCGGTTCTTGATGGCGTCAAGAATCATCGTCGTGTGGTCCGGGATGAGGGCGCAGACATCGCCAGACGCAAAGACTCGTACACGATCGACAAGCTCTTCGCTGGGGAGATCAGTATTCAGCCAGGCGACTATGACGTCGACCAGTCTGCTTTCGAGTCAGCTAAGGTATTATGAGAGGCAATTAGCAAGGACTCACTTGACTCGCTTGGCAACAAAACGTAGGGTTTCGGGTCTCGCTTCTTCAAATCTGCGTTCGATTATATCGAGCATCGTTTCCGAGGTAGCGTGATCTAGATATGTCTTGAGCATTAATTGTTTGAAATGTTCATCCTCTGCAGGTCAGGTTATTTGGTTCATTCGAGACAAAGGACGCATACCTGTCACGAGCCAGTGATTTATGAGGCCTAGAGAATTGCCGTAGATCTTGCCATCATTCTTGAAGAATGAGGGCGTATCTGGAGGTTGCGGAGGCACGATACATGGAGCCGGCTGTCTGGTGGGCGTATTTGGAGGTTGTGAAGGCATAATACGCGAAGATGATTGCTCTGCCATAGTCGGTTCTCGAGGAGAGGGTAGCAACCCATCGAAAGAAAGTGAATCTATTGGTGAAAGCTGCGGCAAGGAGGGGGGTTCTCGACGGATGCGGGAAGATTGGGGCCTTGGATTAAGTGTCGGTGAATAAGGAACCGGCTGCTTTGTTACGAGGTCCAGAGCCTCGTCAACAAGCCGAGCATCGAGTGATGGCTCGCCCTGGAAGCGCGACGAGATTTTGCCAAACTGCGATCTGATTTCATTGAGTATTTCATCCCGATCATGTTCTTGTCTGGCCCTCATCTCCATTACTTGACGCCCAATCGTAATGAGAATTTGCATCTGAAGCGAGGTAAGGGAGCCGGCCCGGGCATGAGATATGGCTGACCATCATCGTCCGAAATTGCTCATCCACCTTCCGATTTTGTTCCAGGGCCCATTCCTGGAGCTCATCTTGCTTAATGACGGCGAACACAAAATTCAACTTCCTCCGTGATTTGAGCTTGGTGATGATCCCTTGTAAAACCCTGATAATCCTCGTCAGCGCTGCAGCCAAATTTATGCAACAGTGATACATTTCCGTCTCGTCCAAAAATCTTGTAATTGTCCGGTCGTCCAACGGCATCGAAGAGGCCGCCAGGTCTTGCAAGCTGCTTAGCCGGGCGATACAGCGGTTATTGAGGTCCTCGAGCTCTTTCTGGCCTCAGATGAGCGGGTTTCAGTATGGTGAAGGTAAACGTAGCGCTTACGTGCCCCTTTGGACCATTGTGGATAATGTCTGCTACGTCTTTTGCTGTGCGCCTGTTAGATTCGTCTTCACAGATAACCTGGCACACACTCAGGGACAGAACTGCCAGAACAAGATCGGGGCTCATTGGGGGAGCAGGTTATGGCCTCCGGCAGAGGTGGTGTTTGGAGAGAGGTCAGGAGGAGCACTCGCCCACTCTTGACCTGGTGGGGAAAAGAGCGCGTTAGAAGGTCACGAGTCCAGGTCAATTACGACGAGCTGTGATCTGCTGTGATGCTATTACCGCCAGGCACCCGTTCGACGAGATGATAATCAAGTAAATATAGGCCTGCCTTGGTACTGTTCTGTTCCAAGGTACTTATGACCAGAAATTTGGACTTACTTGAAGAAGGTTCGCTCGCAGACTTGTACTACATGCAGTTTTTCGGACACTTACCATCCTGGCATGAAAAGACTGAAGCCCCGGGAGGACATCCGGTGGCGGCTTCACAAAATGTTATAAATAATTTAATTTAAGAGCCATTTGAACGGGAACGTTCGCTCAATTTAGACCACAATATTAATGCTTTGTGGCAACCGAGCGCAGCGGTGCACCGTGAACCACGTCCGCATTCTGCCCTAGTTCCTTCTCTGGGTGAGTGAGATAAAAAATGAATTGAACTGCAAGCTGCCAAAAAGGATTTAAACAAGCATATGTATGCAGACGCGGGGAGTCGAACCCCAAAGCTGTTTAACTCTTCTAGAAAGTTTTCACAATAAAGGCAGCCCCACATACCACGTCCGCTTTCTACCCCAGTTCATCTCCTGTGTGAATGAGAAGAAAAAAACTGATTGCTTAGACCGTGGCCAAAAAGAAATGACCAAGACAATGGATGTAGACACGGGAAGTCGAACCCAACAACTGCTTACTAGAACACATAATAAAGGCAGCAGTGTGCCGTGCACCACATCACCTTAGTTCACTTCTACTTACAGGTGAGAGGTGAAATAAATTTGAACTGTAGCACAAAAAGCCAGCCAAGGAATATGTGCTCATGCGGGCGCGGGGAGTCGAACCCCGGCAGCTGCTATATTCCCAACAATGAAGGCAGCGGTGCACCGTGCACCACATCTGCTTCCTACCCTAGTTCTTTCTCTCTGCGAGTGAGACAGAAAAGAAAAAGTGGATTAGAACCGTAAAACCTAACAAAAATTGATGAGGAACCTCCAAATGCGGACGTGGGGAGTCGAACCCCGGGAGCTGTTTACTTCCTCTTTCGATGTCCCAATAAAGGCAGCAGTGCACCGTGCACTACGTCTGCTTCCTGACCTTGTTCCTCCCTTCGGTGAGTGAGAGCGAGACAAAAAAAAAGTTTAGAGCTGCGAGTGATCAAAAAAAAAAAAAACAGAATGCGGACGTGAGGAGTCGAACCCCGGAGCTGCTTCACCGTGCAATTAACTATCCCATTTCACAGATGGCAGCAGTGCACCATGCACTACATCCACTTCATACCCTTGTTCATTCCCTGTCTTAGTGTGAGTGAGAGAAAAAATGGCTAGAGCTGCGAGTGACCAAAAAGGATCTGCTCTCACAAAGAATACAGACGCAGGGAGTCGAACCCCGATAACTGCTTCACTCAACTAAATCTAATGAGAGCAATATAGAGCAGCGGTGCACCGTACACCACATCCGCTTTCCATCCCTCCTCTTGAAATTCTATAAGTGAGACAGAAAATAATGTAGAAAGACAAAAAAAACAACACCTGAAAGCCCATGCGGACGCGGGGAGTCGAACCCCGGAGCTGCTTCACTGTACAATTAAACTATCCCATTTCACAGATGGCAGCGGTGCACCGTGCACTACGTCCGCTTCCTGACCTTGTTCCTTCCTTCGGTGAGTGAGAGCGAGACCAAAAAAAAAGTTTAGAGCCGCGAGTGATCAAAAAAAAAAATAGAATACGGACGTGAGGAGTCGAACCCCGGGAGCTGCTTACACTTTTACTCGCCATTCTAATAGAGAGCAGCGGTGCACCGCGCACTACGTCCGCTTTCTACACCAGTTCACGTCTCTGTGTGAGTGAGACAAAAAAAAGGATTCGAATTGTGAGTGACTAAAAAGAACTAAAGCTGAAAAGGATGTGGACGCGGGGAGTCGAACCCCGAGAGCTGCTTAAACCTGTTTACTGTATTCAATGATCGAAAGGCAGCGGTGCACCGTGCACCACGTCCGCTTTCTACCCTTCTCCTGAAATTCTATGAGTGAGACTGAAAAAATGGAGAAAGACCAAAAAAAACGACCAAAGAAGTGTATGCGGACGCGGGGAGTCGAACCCCGATAACTACATATGGACGGGTACAATCTACATAGGTAATGCAGAAATGCACCGTGCACCACGTCCGCTTCCTACGCCTTGAGAGATAATAGAATAGGTAGGTCTTTTTTTCTTTGAGCTTTGAAGAGGGAGTACATAGTGCCGGTAAAACACGGGAATTGGAGCATACACGCGCGTATAAATTGAAAGTACACACGGAAAAATGAAACAAGCCTTGCCCCGCATTTCTTGCGCATGCGTGGGTGAGCGGGAGTCTAAATGCGATGGGGTCCCACGACGCGGGGTCAGTCGGGAAGAATCGAGATGGTGGCAGAACAAGAACATTCCTTATGCCGTAACCCGTACTTTATGTTTGTCGTCCGCCTCTAGCCTTATCCTCAACCACTGCTTGCTCCTCGTGCTAAACCAAAGACAAGACAAAACCCAAAACCAAAAAATGCGCTTCCGGACGCTCGAAATCCGGTGGCACGACTCCAAGCCGATCTCGTCGTGCGACTTCCAGCCCGTGCCCTTCAAAAAGGCGCGCCCGCCCCCGGGGAGCGCGCCCAGCGCCTTTGCGGCGCAGGCGTATAGGCTTGCGACGGCGGGGGAGGACAACCATGTGCGCGTGTGGATGGTGTATCCGAATATCCGGCCGCTTGACCTTGAAGGGGGAGGAGGAGGAGAGGGTGTGGCGCCGAGGCCGGCGCGCGTGGAGTATCTGGCGACGCTGAGCCGGCACTCTGCGGCGGTGAATGTGGTGCGGTTCTCGCCGAATGGTGCGCGTCGAGTCTCTTCTTTCTTTCGATAGAATGAAGTAGTGACGCCACCGCGCAGGCGACCTCATCGCGTCTGCGGGCGACGACGGGATGGTCATCATTTGGGCGCCGTCCGCCACACCGCAGACCAGGTTCGTGACTCTTTTCTTCTTTTCTTTTTTCTTCGTGTAAGACATTCGCCACAGCACGTACGGTCGGACCTCTCCCCGGACGACCTGCAGCACGAGAAAGATACTGGAAGCCGCGCACGACGTTCCGGTGCACGACGATGCAGGTGTACGATCTCGCGTGGAGCCGACGGGCGAGTTTCTGCTCGCGGGGAGCACGGATAATTGCGCAAGGGTGTTTGCGAGCGTGGATGGTGCGTCGCGTTTCTTTTGGTTTCTTTTCTTTTTTCGAGCGCCTCTCTCCTGTTACTTTGCTGTCCGCGTTCCCTCGCGCGCGCCTCTTCTTTCTGTTCTTTGTTATCCTCGATCTCGATGTGTTTGAGCGCGTCCCCCCTTCCCTATCCCTCATCGCGTTCTGTTCGCGTTCTCTGCCCTCTCCCCTATCTCCCTATCCGCACTACTCTTATCCTGCCGCCTGTGCTCTCCTTCTATGCTTTCTTCGTACTTGAACGCGTCCTCGTCGCGCTGAGTGCATCTCCCTCCCCCCTTCCCCTCCTCTTGATAGTTGTCCTCGTCGCGTCTCTTCTCGATTGCCTGCCTTCCCTCCCTCCCACCCCGTCTTTCCCCTTCCCTCCTGCCCTTCGTTCTCTCTCTCTCCTCTCCTGCTCTCCTCCTTGCGCGTCTATTCCTCTCGTCCCCCACCCTATTCCCGCTAGCCCTCATCGCGTCCTTCCCCATCTTCCCTCCCGTTCCTCCCCTCCTCTTCCACTCTCTTCCCCATTCTCCGCTTCCTCTCCGCGTCCTATTCCCATTCTCGCTTGTCTTCTCTCATGTGATGAGCACGTCCCTCCTCTTTGTCCCCATCTTTCATCTTATAACATATACTCCTTGCGACCGCTAGCCTTCCCTCGTTCCCCTCTCCCTCCTTCCCTCCCTTCTATAAAAACTGAAACTCACTTAAACTAACCACCCCCCAAAAAAAAAACAGGAAAATGCCTCCACGAAATCGCCGAGCACGCGCACTACGTGCAGGGCGTCGCGTGGGACCCGCTCGGGGAGTACATCGCGACCCAATCTTCCGACAGGAGTATGCATGTGTATAGGGTGGGGGTGGGGAGTGGGGGAAGGTGAGTTGCGAGCTTTTTCTCTTCTTCTTTTATTTTGTTATGGAGTTTGGGGGGAGTGGTTTTTTTGGGGGGGAGTGGTTTTGCGGGGGAGAGGAGGGCGGAGGGGAGACGAAGCAGCGCGTGCCCCGGCGTGGCGGAGCGCGTTTTCTCTCTTTCTTTCCTACGCCAGTGCCTCTTTCTTGCTCGCTTCTCGCCCGCATCCCCTCACTCCCGAGCATCCTTGCTTCCTTTTTTTCTTTTTTTCTTTCTTTTGGCGCTCTGGATTCGACGCTGTTGAAAGTAAACTCTCGTGGGGTTTTATTTTCGACTTTCAATTTCTCCGTCTCTTCGTCGATGCAGTCTACCTCCCCGGGTTCATCATGGCGCTGTGAATGTGGATATCCTTCCACGCGCCCTTTTTTTTTTTGGCGGAGCGAACCCTCATCGTCTCTTACTCTTATACCCCTCGTTCGCCTCTCCTCTCCTCTCCTTTGTTGTCTCGTGGCGTGTATCTTACCTTCGGAGAAACGAGTGGGTAGATGGATGGTGGTGATATGATATGCGTCGTTCTATGATACGCGTGCATTCGATTTCTCTTTCATTTCCCTTTATCCTTAGTCGCGATCGCGATCGTCTATGACCTTCGCGTCAAGCACCGTCTAAAAGGACCAATGGTATTGGCGGGCAATTTCATCATACCTTTTCATCTGTATATGCCAGTGATCACCGGTCGCGCTCTTGCTCGCATTCCCCTGAAACTGTTGCGGATGGTGTCGATGTTGGAGACAGCCGCGATGCAGTGACGTCGCTGGTGTTATCCGCTGAATTGGCCTCCAATATTTTTTTAAATGGTCAAGTTTTTTTTTTTGCTGCTTTGCTCGCGAGTCGTGATATTGTTGCGCATGCCTTCGCTTCGGTCTCTGAGTGTCGCGCTTCTTTTTTGGCTGATTTATTCTCCGGCGTCCTGTAATGGCCGCGCATTCAGGTTGTGCACGAACCGGTAAAGGGTTCCAGAGTGTGCTTGACGTGGCGTATTTTTCCGTGAGTATTGTGTTGCTCTCTCCTGATGATTCTTCGCAGTCCTTGATAATTTCTGCCGGTGCGCTGGGCTTTGACGTCCCTGAGCCTGCGTCTCAGTCGGATTTTAAGCTCGCCAAGACTTACCTCCTGTCTAAAAGGCGCGCGCTGCACTCCGATGATGATCTCAGATCCCACCTCAGGCAGCACCACCGTCATGCCGTAACACCCCTCTTAGGCCCCCTTCTCTGTGTGAGTAAAGGGGGCCTAAGAGGGTCCATCCGCCGCGCGGATGGTAGTCAACATTTAGTCATCTTCCCAAACGGGTAGATATTGATGCTCGATACCCACGCTCCTCCCGCTGCGCCCTCCGCTGCACCTGCTGTTCATTTTTTTTGCTTGCTCTTTGTGGGCCGCACCATTTAACCTCTTGCCAGCCATTTCCCTTGGAGCTTTCCCTCGATCTAGCGGCAACTTTTGCTTACATTTTGAGCCACCGAAAGATTCTGGCGGATCCATCCGCCGCATTTTTTTTTTCACAACTTCGTGGTTGGTTTCGTACCTGTATGATGCAGTACTATGAACAGTTATTCATGATCCAATATTTTCAGTAGATCTGGACCGGATTCAATGTGTCTTTTTACTTGCCAAAAATTGCAATGGATATCTCTGCCGTTGTTTTGTTTTTGAGCCACTTTTTGTTTTACATGTGGTCAAGTTGCTTCAATTTAATTATCTGGTTTTCTCCTGCGGGTTTGACCTGACTGTGTCCCACCTCGCATTGTAGCATTGGCGGCCTCCGCCGCTCAATTTCTGCCCTCCAGCATTGCTATATGCTATCGTGGCCGTATTCTTATGTTCTAGTGGGTTGGATTTCTGTCCTTCTACTCTACTCTATCATCATCTTCGAGTCAATCTATGTTTCGTTTTGAAAAGAATACAGTGGTGTCAGGGGCATCCGCCGTTTTATTTTATTCACTCAGCGGGTGGGATTTTCTATTCAAACTGCTATCTGTCCTCGGTCTTGATAGGAGGCACTGTTCTCCTTTTTTGACAATCCTGGCTCAGTATACAACAAACTGCCCAGACGAGCGGGTTCATCTTGGTTACCACCTTGACGAGATCATTCCGAGTCCTTTGAATATTCCTTTGTGTTTCACTCTGGCTTCAAGACAGCCAAAAACAAAGCGAGATATAATGTTGTCGGTTGTCGGTGTTGGCGGATGCTGGCGGGTGGTGGTGGAGGCCTCTGCCTGCATCGGCAGTCTCCAATGCTTGTCAGACGCCGCCTCTAAATTGAAAGGAACTTCAGTAAAATGCAGCTTGACTTCCAAATCATTTCTGACACCATATGTCATGATTTGGCATTTCTTGGCCTTTCTCGAACCCTTTCGTTCACGCAATTCGCACCACTCATTGCGGCTCAAACACATCCCTGGGTTATTAGAACCTCCGGGTTTCAGATCAAACAACCAATGATCGAGGATATTCGGAACAACACTGTTGCCTGGTCATTCCTCAACCTCCTATCAAACTACATATCATCGCC